AATGTATTTGGGAGACCATAAGGTAGACCATTACCATTTTAACCATTGCTTTACATCGTCTTTGTTTATTCACAGATCTCATTCTTAGTTAAAGGCTCTCCAAGGGCAAATAAAGAATGTCTATGCCCTTAAACTCGCTCGTAAAACTGACCAATGACTTGTCATTCGCAGATTTTTTTAGCACTGTTTCTGTCTAGACATCTATTTCTGCCCATGCCTAGTTGACATATTAAGCCCCCAGTACGGTGGTGCATCTATTTATTTGATGTATTTTAGCCATGCGTATCTGTCTGGTGAGGAGACAGGAGATGAGGTATCTGTGAGTCATGTTCACGTTCACCTTCTGTGACCGAGCGGTCATCAGGGTCATGGCCAATCTTTGCCTGGTCATGATTACCCCGTCTGGGCACAGACAGGTTAGTTCATCTCCGGTGACGCTTCTATGGGATAAAGCCCTCTGTCATGAAGAAATCAGAGATGGCGGAATTCACCCTCTTACCTGTACTGCTGCTTCGCAGCCATTTAATTACCGCAGACCGGTAGATTACACAAACGCATTTTGATACCTTTTTCAGATACATGTAGTATACATTGTCTTTCACCAGTGACTAACGCGCTTGTCGACGAGCGTAATCTCTGGCATTCTCTTACTATTTCATTATTTTCTAGAACTATCGCAGAGTGGCACTCGCTGTCAACAAGTGCTGTAGGGGCATTGTCATTAGATAGCTTTAAACAATGTTAGAGTTAGATGTTCAAGGGTTAGGTGTAACAAGTCGTTCGGTGTTATATAGCCAGCTGCCGCCGCGCCGCGTGCCTGCGAAGCTGGTGTGTTACGCGGAAATGAAGGGCGGTTATACCAGCTGTACAGATACAGATACAGACAGATACATATGCTAACGCTAGTATCAACCTAACGCCACATGTCACGTACCCTCTCCTGAAGCCCCTAGTCACGCCAGAAACGAACCGCATCGATTCTACAGAAAGACGCAACTTCAGGACCATTCATCACTCCGGGCTCACATCGGCAATCGAGAACAGCCTGCTGCAAACTCATTTCTCCCAGTCAGGCCGGACTCGATAGTAATTATCCTAACAATGAACCAGTAGTTGGTACTTCATTACCTTTCTTGGAAGCGATGTTAGGTCGATTATGTGGGAGATCTCAGTACTGTGGTGACTGCATACTGAGGTATTACGTGATAATTGTCTCTCTTACTTTACTTTACTGCAGTTTAACTCTATAGTAATTACTTAACAATGAACCAGTACTTAGTACTTCATTACTCTGTTGAAAGCGAAGTTAGGTCGACTATGCGGGACTGCATACACTAAGGCATTACGTGATAATTGTCTGCCTTACTTGACTTGACTTCACTTCAACTCGATAGCAATTATCATGACAATGAACCAGTACTTAGTACTTCATGACTTTGTTGAAAGCGAAGTTAGGTCGATTATGCGGGACTGCATACACTAAGGCATTACGTGCAATTGTCTGCCTTACTTAACTTAACTTCACTTAAACTCGATAGTAATTCTCATGACAATGAACCAGTACTTAGTACTTCATGACTTTGTTGAAAGCGATGCTCAGTCGATTTAGGTATTACGTGACAATTGTCTCGCTTACTTTACTCTGCTTTACTTTAACTCGACAGTAATTATCCTTACAATATTTTGCCATCCTTGGTTTTCATTCATATGGTAATTTTTTAACACCCAACCACGGAACGAGCGGCAGAATGTGACACTCAGAAATTCGGCCCCAGGCAAAAAAAGGTGCGGTATTTGCGGAAAATGGGTCCAGCGAGACGCAGAATCCGCTGTTAAAGTAGGTAAAAGACTGTACACGTGTCGGCGTGTGGAGTGATTTCCGACCCATTTACCTCCTCTAGTTGCACCAAACTGCCCCACAGGGAGGGCTGGTCACTGATGGTCACCGAGCGATTATGCAGAGTGAAATCTTTCCCTGGCCTGCAGCACGTTATGACGTCTGAACCCTACATCATTCCATGCAATAAACCTTTATCTAATTGGGCGTCTGGACGGAAATGGATAAAATGGAGTGGATCATTGGAACACATTTTCTTCGTGGAGAGTGGGACACTCCACAAAATCAAATCAAATCACTCGACAAAATCATTCTATAAGCACACCGTAAAGCAAACGTAAAGATCCCGCTTCTTCAGATGCATACACCTTTACGCGTGCTTAAAGAAACGATTTCGTACACTGGGAGTGTTTTAGAAGTGTGGTATTCATGAGTTCACCGACGAGTAACAATATTTTCGTCATTTCTTTTAGCACTTGGCCGGGAGTGTTGTTGAACAACGTGGTTAAGCTTTTACAAAGCGTTTTTGCCATGCCCAAATGACGTTACGATTAGAATTCCTCACACGACTTTGAAAATAGAACTGTGTAGGGTATAGAAATTCAACGGACTATGGGGAGCTATTCTGGAGTTTTCACTTTTCAACACTACGAGAGCTTGAAGACTTAACAATCTATCGACGCAGTTATAGATTTGAACCAGCGATTGAAATAGCTCCAATCTTGTGAAAAAACACATATTGAAACCACAGTAATAATACTCGTACATCATGTTAGCCTATTGTCCCAATTCTGTTCATCAGTATCAGAAAATATATATGTCACAGCTGGCAGTAACTATTGGATATATTGTTGATCGCAAACCGATATCAAGCCCATATGAATGTACAAATGAGGCCATCATGTGATTGCACTGTGATAGGTGCACAATACTTGATTCCTGGACGGTGTGTTAGGGAAAAGAGGATAATTGCTTTCATATATATTCTACAGAGATCTAAAGAAAATCTACTATGTATAGAAACGTGTATGATATAATACACGAATGTCATAAGAAAATGGGGTGAAAATTCAATCCATTAGATATATGTGACACGTGTATGGGTTTTGTACATTTTTCAAAAGATAATGGCAAGATAATGGTTTTATTCATCGCTTTGCAGCACTTTGTTCAGGGCCCTAGGAATTGGCATTCTTCACTCAGTTAAAAAAGGACCATAAAAGGAACGAAAACCCAAGACGAAAATGTATAATGGTTTCGTCCTGAGGCTCTGGTGCCGGAAATATCCATTAAACCTTTAGTCGTTGTAAGATTTACTGCAGTGTATAAGAAAGTGGTCGTAAGGCGTAAGAAGGCAATCATAGACAATGTAGACGTCGATATTTCTGGAACGACTTCTTCCTCCTGAGGGGCCCCAAAATTGTTTCTGAAGATGAGAGTTATACACACAAAAGTGGCGGACAGGAAATGTGGTCTATTTTTGCAAAATCGCTGGGGAGGGCCTCAGATGAACCATAACAATTGGAGTTTGCACTTCACCTTTCATAACGATCGAAGTCATGAAATACAATGTACAGCAGCTAGATAGTATATACGCAGAAAGCAGATTGTACATCACATATGACCAGAAAAATATACAGACGAATGTGCCTTTCATTCATATCTTAGTATTAAAACTTGGCGTTAAATTCAGTCGGCTAAATCAATCACTGGTTCTTCATTACAAAAGTGGATCAGTAGGTCATAAAACTATTGGCTGTCATAAAAAGACTAATGAAATCTCCTATGTGTCAGCCCAATGTCAAAACCAATCAGATGGTAAAGATTCGTTATCCATTTCCCCGATCAACTGTTTTTCTATTTTTTTTTAATTTTTCACATATTATTTAAAGAAAATGGTACAACACAAAGTGGTAGCGCAATCAAGTAGCTAAGACTTATTTCACCGCCACCACTTACACATAATGAAAAAATTAATTAACTAATGTATCCAATAAAAAGGAGATACAGACGATAATACAAAGAATTTGCTATCTTGGATGAGGTCCTACACTTATTGATGCCTCTATAGTATGTCATATATTTTCTTGTATGTTTCAGAGACAGGAAGTGCACCGTTAGTGAGAGGTGTTGGCGGTTCATCACGGCCTCCCACACGTCAGGTTACACCCTGTCACACCAGATTCTCTGGACCATCCTAGGAGAACACGTGTGTACTTCTTTTAAACCTCATTTTCTGTAAGAGAAGACCTTTAGTCTGTAGTTTGTAAGTACGAATGTAAAATGTTTTTTTTTTCTGGTCAACCAGACAACCAAGCAATGGCCTTTATTTTAATTGAGTAAGAATGCTTTTATTCTGAAGAGCAGAGTATTATTATAGTCAAACACTTAAATGCTTTCATGAAACCATTGGATACATTTCTACCTTTCTTACTCTGTTACTCCGCTAAAATAGTGTTTGACTGATAATTATTACGCGAACAAGATCATCTACTGCTCGGATACAGTGAATATTGTATCTGCACCACTGTCCAGGTTGGATGTATGGAGAACATTGACAAGTACGCCAGGAGGAGAGGTATGCTGGAGGGTACGGCGGAACTACGTCACAGGCACTGCAGTTCTGCTCTGCACCACATGGAGGCGCTCATGCACAGGGGAGCTGCTCAGGCAGACCAAGACATGTTTCTGGAGACAAGTATGTACACAGTCAATCAATCGACCAATCCATATCAGATATATTGATACTCAATTAGAATTAATGTGAAAATATAACGTTGTCATAGGGCACATTTTTGTTTTTATCAAGCAAAAAAAAGTATTTCGGAATAAGGACACGGTTAAATTACCTTACCTTTGTCATATTTCATTTTTCATCCTTAGGTGTTTTATGTGGAATGCTGGGATATAGGGACTTCCTACGCGCTGATTGGCTGAGGACGGTGTTGGCATGGCAACTACCTTCTGGATGCTTCGGGTAAGGATGACCTTAGCATTTTTCAATGGCATTTTCTCTTGGCATTGGTCCAAGCGATGTCAAACAGAGTAATCAAAAGTTCATAAATGCCAATTGTAAATTTTTCCATGCAATTTTGCAGGATCAGGCATACACCCACCAGACGGAGGCTTTTAGGTGAAAAACTGCTGCAACGTAAGTGCAATGAGTCATGAAAAGTTATACATATTGTAGAAATATGTCTATAATTAGTTGTATTGTGTTTTTTCTAATACTAGCCATTGAATATATATGTAATCAAAACATATGAATCATGTAATCAAAACATAACGTAACACTGCAATAATAAGGTTTCGTTTTCTGTTCTTTTTAAGATGACTGCCTGTCGCACAAAAGCGGACTGGGAGCCGCCATCATGGGAATGTACGCGCGGTGCATGATGGACCCGGCATGCACCTGGAGAAGTAAATCGAGTGACTAAAAAGATGGCTATTCCAAGCTGTTCCCTACAAAGAAATGAGCACAGCCGGAGCCTTCCGTTTCATATTCCTAACATTCACTCCGGACAAGGTTAAAATAAACATCTTTAATGTTTGGATTCCATCATAAACAACTGCAAGGATTATAAAAAAATCTAACCTGTTACTTGGAAGCTTTCAGAAAAAAATAAAAATAAAAATAAAATAAAAATAAAATCATCGGTGTCTACACGGAAGGCTAACTAAATAATACATATTGTAAATACATTGTATAGTTTCAAGAAGGGGTCTGACTTCTAGTAGTGTTATAGACTATATAGTGCCTTCTTCATAACTCCAATATGTGTACATATATACGCAGAAAGTGTGCTAAACTTTTGTATTAACATATCAAGAAGCATGTCATTTTAGTTTCACTACATTGTGGGCCATCTGTGTGCTATCTTGATAATAATGATTAGTTTTCGGTGCTGTAAATATGATGCAAACTATAATGAGAATAATACTGTATAATTATGTTTTTTCACATGACTGAATAAAAGGCATAAAATCTCGCGTGTATATCGTACAATTTTTATGAACTTTATACAATCATTATCTACGATCTGTATATGTGTAGACAACCGTACCATGTACCAACAAGTTTCTTGTCACATGAAATAAACTTTTGTCGATAGATGAATACTTAAAGAAGAAGAAAACCATTTGCCAGGAGTCAATATCACAGGAAATTACCTCTGTGGCCCTGAGTTCAGCAACATCTACCCCAGGTCACCTCCATATCACCTCGTGGGGACAGAATCGATATGTGGAATAGATATATACATAATTTACTACGTGTGATGTTGGTCGGCATGGCTGGGTGAGGGGATTGTTTGATTGGATAGGTGGGTAGACTGGTGGGAAATATCTGGTAAGAATACGAGATTTAAAAACTTTTACAAAGATGAGACAAGATTTAACTTGTCGCTCACTATCGTACCGTTCACGAATGCAGGCCGTGACACGGTGCACGTGCTTTGTTTGTTTGTTTGTTGGTGTGTGTGTGTGTATTTGTACGTATATTTGTGTGTGTGTATGTGTGTGAGTTCTATGTGTCTTTGTGTGCATGTGTACGTATGTATGCGTGTTTGTGCGTATGTTAGTGTGCGCGTGTGTGTGTGCTTTTCTCATTTTTTTTTGCTCTGGCAGGCCCATTCTGGCCCTGGTTTATACAATAAGATTTGTTTGTTCCCCCGGTACAAATCTGATGACACCAAGTGTTCTGACCACTATTGAGGTCACAGCTTTAACCTCCCAGGTTAACTCGGGGTCAGTACTCTCTGACCTCTAGGGGTCAACCTGTCTGGAGGTCAGATTGAGAAGTAAATTCAATAAGATGGCGTCTCTATCGCGAAATATTTACAAATTAGCAGGACAGTACTTTCACTCCCCTCCCCTTTTGTGTTTTCTTAAAAGTTTTGTGTATTTAGACGGTTCCATTCTGCAAACCTGGAATACTAGGATAATGCTGCAAATTTCTTTGTGACGACAGGCGGCGCTTCTGTTGCATGTTACAAAGGTCTGTACAATTGGGGGAGGGGGGTCACAACACACGGAGTAGATATGAATTATACACAAGATAATCTAAGTCTGAAAGTTGAAATTGAGTTTCCTGTAGGCTAAACGATGGCATGTTCAGCACCAAGGACAGGGCACGGGACAGCTTTTTTAGTGGTTCTTTCTCCCAGCAATTCAACTATTGTACTCTCCTTTTCACACCCCGGCGATCCTATGATGTTGATAGCATAATTGTTTGTCATTGGGGAATTTTTGAGACTAAATATCTTTGCTTAGCCAAAAGATCTCGCTAACTCTATAGGCCTATATAGTAAGATCCTGTAATACTTGTAGTAGTTTTTAAAAAAAAGGCCTTTTATACTCGAGAAATAAGAGATTGCAATATATTCTAAGGCAAGTCTTTTCGAAAACGTCTCCATCACATCAAGCGTTCCAAGTTGTGCGAACGACAGCAGTATTCACCCATCATCACAGGCACAAAAGTCAATATCATCACACCGAGGTGACGGTTACTCATTTTCATTGATTTTGCGGCCATAATTACTTGATATCTGGATTATTGCACACCCAGGCAATACCCTGATGTGAGCAATATTTGACGGGTATTCCCTGGTCAGCTGCCATGTCAAATTTACCGGCCGTCAGTGGGACACGGGGGAACAGAATCGGACAATCGGATCGTTTCACGTCTTTATATAATTAAAATTTGGACTTTGATGTGCAATTTGGTACGGGAGATGCGCCAAAGGTTGGGCATGACAGCCATGACAATATAAATCATGTATGCTCTTTTGAGTTTCGGTGATGGTCGGGTTAAACTTTTCTTTACTTCTGTCTACTTTAACTAAAACTTATCTTTCTATTCTAGTGTTTATCATGATAAACTTTATGCGTGTATAAGTTTCAATTCGTGATGACAGTAATAGTATACGTCTTCAATAATGCAATACAACTGGACAACAATTACAAATTACAAATATTTCAAATGCTACACGGCACTTTTCATCAGTGATAGAAAAACTTAATGGCAACTTCCAACACGGAGCCAGCTTGACGTAAAACTTGCCTCGGCAGGCCACAACAAAACCCGCCTCAGGCAAGCCGTGTGTTACCTTGGTAACGACCGTAGGGGACATGTTTACGGTTATGCGTTGCCCCGGTAACAACCCTAGAGGATGTTGTTTACGGTTATGGTACGACAGAGGCCATATGTACGCACTGCAAGATAAGAACACCGAGACTTTCATACTCTTCAGCTCGTATTTTCTGTACATTGGAGACGTTTTTGCTGCCGCAATATGAGTAGATCTGAGGTGGTGGTAAATTACTAGTACTGGAGGTGAGCTATATTTTGGGTACCCGAAACGAGGTTTTGCACGACGTGAGGTTACTCAAGTTACGTCGGTTTGCACGCGTGCCGATACTCATTTCCGCGATTGTTTGCACGCGTGCCGTTCCTCGCGCTGTGCTGAGTTCGCACGCGTGTATGTCCTCGCGCTGCGCTGACCTTGCACGCCCGTGGAATTCCTCACTACAAACCGAGTAAACACGCATCTTGTGGGCAGAACGCCGTAATGCCGGACCGAGCCTGACTAACTACCGTTGCGTGCATTTCCTCGAGGCGTCCCAAATTTACCCGCATGTGTATTTCCTCACTAAGAGCCAGGTAGACACGCATTTTGCGACCGTATAATGTGCGACCGAAGGCCGGGCATTTTTACTACATGGGTGCGCGGAGGGACCTGTCGGCCAAATCAGTTCAAAGACGTGCTCAAAATAAACGAGGTTTCCGTGGGCACGCTCAACGAGCGGGAGAACAGCGATGTATTTATATTTTTAACGGACCATTTTGATAAGACATATCACCGAATCGACCGGTAAGTGTGTACAACGTTGTCTTTGAGATCGTCGGCACGGGACGGGCGTACATAATTTTTGCTCACTACAACGGTGTTTTGCACGTATGTTCTTTTCCTCGCTACCACTTTAGTTTACAAGAGATTTGTTACGGTTTTTAGGAGCCGGTTTTTAGCGTCTTTTCGTGTTTTTTTACGTCTTTTACAATGCACTTTTCTTGATGGTCGACTTTTCCACAACTATCAAAAGCACACAAAACGAAAAAGGAAAACGGAGAACAATGAGGAGAAGAAGTCGTACGAAAAGACGCTAAAAAGTAAAACTATGCCAAACATTACGGCCTAACCAACAAGTAACCACTAAAACTGACCATTATTGGACAAAATTCATACCTTTGTACCATGATAGATCGGCAGCTTCACCACTAGTCAGGCTCCAAGCTTGTAAATCCGAGTTCCGAGTGTGGTTTAGAGGTACTAGCTGGCGTTGTTACTGGCGTTGTTATTAGACTTGAAGTGACGCGGGCTATTTATATATGCGCACATGCGCACTGCTCACGCATGCGTAACCAAGGTAACTAGATCGTACAATGCATTCTGGGCTTGGGTGATTCTATTGCTTTTTAGGGGTGTCTGATATCATTTTTACGAATCTATCACATCATACAATGCCTAATATAATAATGATACAAAACACAGTGACTACACACATGTACTTTTTCATTCATTGGCTGTGGGGACGCTTAGAATTTACAAGAATCCATAAATAATTTACAGTCGGTACCTCTAACTCCGTAACAGTGGAGTCTTCCAATGACCCCTATTGACCTCTGTCTGCTGCTGTCTCTGGCAAAACCTGCATTTTTGACACGCTCGTCAACTCCGAACATGCATCGAATTCGAAAAGATTTTTCACTCGTCCGTTGTAGGAGTGTACGAATTGAAACAAACTTTGTGAGATTACCGATATCAACACAAAAACACTGTCCATTCTTGTGGTTATTTTTAGGCCCATCCTCCCGGGAGGCATAACGCCGCAACAAGCATTTTTCAAACTAGTACGGAATAACACAACACATAAAATCTAAATCGTTACACAAGTAAATGCTCTCACCGGTTCAGAATACAGTATATCATTGGAACAACATGCAAAATAGAGAAAAGCCATTCTTACAATGTTTGGTAATTTATAAACCTATTCCCCCTTTTTTGTGACATCAATGGAAATATGATTGAATACAAATGTGACACAATTTTGCTACACACATTACCACTTCACTGCGACAGGTCACAAATGTGATAGAAAGTACAGCAATTTTTTTTCAAATGACTTAGAATGCCCCAACAACTTACACGTCATCACCGACTTTTTCTGATTTAGTTTTACAGAAAAATAGGGACCGAAAATAATACTGGCTTGCGGTCCTGATCGCGGACAAAAAATATAAAAAGCACTGTCAAATGTTCTGTATATTCCACAGACACCAATGTCCTTGGATTTAAATCATATTCCCCGCCAAAATACTGATTATTTGATCGCTCATATACCAGCATAGAAGAAATAAAACGATAGGAA